TTACTGTATACCACAAATACATATTCATATGGATTTACGTTGGCCTATAGTTATTTTATATTACCGTAAAAAAATGTTACCAGTTCTCAACGTACGATACAGTCATTTGATTATCTATTTATTAATTGAAATTCAGTTTTTAATCTAAACCAATGTTTTACAACTTTTTTCATTTCACAGCATACTTGATTCACTTAACTCATTGGTCTAAACGCTACAAAGAAATTTTAAATTCTTTTTTTAAATGTATTAACTCGTAATATTTGTTTGGTTAAAAGATTTTAATAAATATCAAATATTAATCATTGACTTTATTTGTAATGTATATTTTATGTATTTTTATTATCATTAATAACATTATAAAATATGTATTCTACAAAATTAAGAATTTCAACTAATCGTGTAATTATCAAGTCGAGTAATTGAATTGTTGTTATAAATTGGATTTATAGTTAAGATACATACATAACACGTGTGATTTGTTGATTTATATGCCATCTTGCGAGTGATATGTATATATCTTGATGTACACACTTCATCTAAATATTATATCTATCATCACATATGTGGTATGTCACACATTTTGTTGTTTCTGTCTGATTGATCACAATGATTATTGCAGACTATGTTATAAATTTACATTATAATGTATTTGTATCATGACTACTACGTTGAATCATCTTAAAAAAATTAATACTGTTAGCAAATAATAAAGTTTTTTAAATAGAGTATAATAGAATAAGTGCTACAGAGAAAATTTGAGCGCTGTTTTTAAATATACTAACTTGGTATATCTGTTTGATTAAAAGATTTTTAATAAATTATAAGTTATTGCAAATAATCATAAATATTTGATTATTTTTAGCAAAATAAAATAAGGAAAAATTATTGAAGCAAATATATATATATATTACAAAATGAAGAATTGCAATATATTTAATATTAACTAATATTATCAACTTTAGAAATGATTCCAATGCTTAAAGGGTTGAGTTTTTATGTACAGCAATACCTCGCTTAGTACTGCATCTACCAGTGTAGATTCATTATATTCCAATTTAGAAATAAACTAAATTTTAATTTAGCAAAAAAAAATTATACATGATTTGTATAAATTCTCCTGGACAGTCCTGGATATTGGCGTAACCGATTGCCCGTACTATGCGAGATATTGCTATATTTGTTTATAAATGAAAGTTACAGTTAAGATGCATACTTAATAATCGCAATTTGCTATAAGTTATAGGACATCATAAGAAAAGTATATATATTGATGTACGTACTTCATCTAATTCACTCTATTAGATAGAGTATACTTGATTAAATGTAAATTTAATAATAATATATGTGGAATATCTTTAGCGCTATCTGGTTTTACCAACGGTGAAAAGAGTCTATCAAGGAAGAAGCATTGCAGCGATTTCATAGACTTTCTGGATGTCTGGTTGGACATTCTGGAACACTTAATGTCGGCGGCAACTTGCGCGCGTGTCGCTAGCGCCACGGTTGATTACATGAGTCAAGGTCGATTAAGGCAATGGCTCTTCGGCTTAGAGACGCATTCCCTGGGTGAACCTTGGCCGGATGTCTTAGGAATTAGCATCGTAGCCATCGTGACCACCCTCTTCATGCTCGGATTAGAAGTACGCTGAATACAACATTCTCTTTTAAACGCACTGTAACAAACTAACCGAATTTCCTCCTGCAGAAATCATCATCGTTCTGCATACTGCTATTCCTCGGCATAATCACCAGTTTTACGTTCTTCGTAAGTGTGGGCGGTTATCATACGGATATCATCTTTTGGAATTGGAGCGAGGACTTCAGGAAGCGGTCCTGGGGTTGCGTAAGATCTTCGGCGGAATTGAAAGAGAAGTACTCGTTAGGTTTTATTGGTATTGTTGATTTGTAGATATTAACGACGGCTGCGATGTGCTCGTTCGGCTTCGCCAATTCCTTTCCGAGCGCTTTGATGGTGAAGCCAATGAAAATAGCGGCGTTTGTAATAATTCCGTTGATTTGCTATTCCGTGATCGCGCTAGTTTTCACACTGATGTCACATTATAGGTGAGTTCCCGATGATTGAAGTAGCTTCCAAAGTTTTATTGTTTTGGAAAGAATCAATTTGTCACTGAAATCAATAATGCGCTGCCCGTCGAAGGCGACGAAGGGATTACTAATAGGAAGCCCTTCTCCTTTAAGTTTCTTTTCGCCTGATGGGAAAGGGAAATGGGATGATATTGTTCGTAATTCCGGTTTCAGAGAATTGGCTGGGATCGCTATTCCTCTGGTGCGGGTCTTCGAAGTGAGGGACGTAGATTGGGCCCGTCCGGTGATGGCAGTCTGCACCATTTGCGTGGTATGCCTAGCGCTTACTGAAATTATGCCGTCTCTCTACAGCCTATTAGTCCGATTAGCTGGTCGCGATTGGAGACTCCTCGTTTCACCAATTTTATACAGGAATTCACTCACCGGAGCTCCGGTTCTCGCCATTTTCACGGCAGGTAAGACTTCATTTCTAGTAAACGACATTTCCCGCACAAGGAAAAATGTGTCGTGCTTGTCTGTCATGCCATAAAATCAATCCGTAAACTTTTTGGCTTAGCGACAAGTTTCCTTAGATTCAATCTGAAAGTTCGGAAGCGGTCTACGAAAACCTACACGAAACAGTAATTTCCTAAAGAACTCATAAACACGAAAGTAATAAGCAGTGAAACTTGTATTTCAATTAATAGCTTACTAGAAATATTTCACATGACAATAAAATGACACACATACAATAATTTTATAATAATTATATCGTTCATCATATTTTTTTAATCAAATTTCTTTGAATATTTATTTAATTACTATTTTTAAATTTTATACTTACATTTAATGTCCTAGAAGTGATTATTTTTAATATCTCAGTGATTTATGATTAATATAAAAAATACATATAATATCTTAATTTGTCCATATTATAGTGGAACCTCGCTTAACGAGCAAAATAAATTGTAAGAATGACTCGCTTAACGAGCGACGTTTCGAATAACGAGTAAAAGAGCAGTTTCAGATTGTGCCTCTGGTACATCACTTTCAAAACGTATGATCACATATTATTTGTATTTTTATATGGTATTTGTAATTTTTAACAGGTTCTAAAATATTAGTTGCATTTGTTTTATTTTATGTTATTTTAACAGAATTTCGAAATATTTCATACATTTAACAAATTTCCATAGTTCAGAAATAAAAACCTGACTTATTATAACGGAATTTACTAAGCATCTGTCTCGTGTTTTAATTAAATTTTTAACTGTTATTGGGTGGATATTTAAATTTAGTTTATGTTCAGTAGTTTTGCCAATATACAGTGAAATGATGTTAAGCTTTATTTTAGGTCAAAAGTTTGCTCATTTATATTTTAAATTTGATTAAGAAATTCATTGCTTAAATAAATGTGAGTAGACATAACAATTATTATTGTACAATATAACAAATAATTACATAATGCATCCGCTAAAATATAAATATATTATTTTAGTGTACGACGATTCTATAATTAATGATTTACATAAATAATAACAAGTAATTTATTAAGTGAGAGGCGGACAGACAGATTACAATATAACGTTATTTTTTATTTATCATTAATTTGTATAGAAGTAAATAACTGTCCACTGGTCAACATGTCTATTGTGAAAATACAAAATCGAAATAAATAGGAAGGGTGCTATGCGTTCAATTTATTGTGGCTTGTCGCCTACTGGACCAGTTCCGTTTATTCACCGACAACATTATTCTCCATAACAACCGGAAAAACAAACAAAAAAGCGACTGTATCGATCTTTCCATTATGTGTATGTTGCCGATCACTAAACCTGACAGATTTTAAATCAAAAATATAGACGCTGTATGTATACACACACTTTGATAAATAGCATTCATAGTTGTTCATAATTTTCATTTCATAATTGGTTTACAATTGGTATTTTAAACTATTTATTAGCAAAAAGCTAAGGTTTCTAATGATTTTAGCTACACATAGCGGAAATAGGTTCAGTGCATTATAAATACATAATTAAAATATACATTAACTTTGCTTCTGAATGGATATCATTATGGACAGCCTTATTTCGCTTTAATTAACATCGCTTTGGATTGTTTCAGGTAGTTTGGCGTCGATCCTGGCGTTCGCCTGTCCCCTTTCCTACTTGCTGCGACTCATGAACGTGGCCTGTTTGTTCAAATGTGCATTAAAATCCAGCACGGCGCTTTACGGCCGCTATAAACCGGAAAACAATAATCTGGAAATACCAGGTAAACTAATTACATGTGACAAAGCGCGGATCGATACCTCGGTTTTGCGGTAGATGTATTCACACATTACTAACTCATTAGAAATACCGTGAATGCAAGAAATAGAAATCTATCGATTTGTCAATTACCCAAGGAGACCAAATTTAAAATACTATACAATTTCTTTGATTGTTGTACTTTGGTGATCTTCAATATTTGTTGTCTTATAATTAAAAATATAAAAAAAGTTAAATAATCATTAAAAAAATAATAATTAAAATAAAACGAATAAAATGTATAAGAGAAAATGCGCCTTTCCATTTATTCAAATCATTTTCTTTTTATTTTAGAGAGAAAACTTATAACGCGGATTTTTTTTATTCAAAACTGTATTGTTTGTTTTATAGTAGTATCGAGCAATATACAGTACAGTATGCTGAAGCCGACGAGAAAGCTGCAGCAACAGCAGCAGCATCAGAAGATCCGCAAGTCCAGAACTTTTTGCGACATGCTTCCAGCTTATTTGCGAAAGAACAAAGCGACCGTTTCCGCCTCCGAGTTAAGAAGTAAAAGGAGCAGAAAGAGTACGAATCGTTTACCGTCCTGAAACTTTGGATTTATGCTGGTTCGCTTCTATTTGCAGGCCCGTCTGGAGATAAGGAGTATTTATTGTTGGACCACTACAGCACATCCTCGCTGGATCATCTTGCCATAGATACCTGTTCAGATAGCGACGTGAACGAGATGTCACCTAATTGCAGCGACGGCGAGGAATCTAGTAGCTCAACCGACATCGATGCCGTAGTTCAAGAATACAAAGACAGAATTCAAGTAATAAAGGACACGAAAGGCTGCCCTTTCAATTTGCATCTAATGAATTTGTTTGTTACAGGTGGCTACTGTTAATAATTTTAACGAAAAGAGGTGCCCGACTCTGTTAACAAGCAGAGTTGTGCTTTGTCTAATTATCGTTCTCTATATCAGCTCCGTCTTATTATCGCTGGGTATTACAATAAATTCGTTGTATCTATCCTGGTCTAATATAATAGGTAAATATCATCACATGACTTCAGATATTATATTGATTTACATTCTTTGTTTGTTCGCTGTACGCAGTGTCGACCTTGTGCTTATTGGGAATCTGCGTAATGCCTCAAAATACATCAAACAAGGAAGAAGCTATAAAATCTCCTATCTGGTTTCCATGGTTCTGCTTCGTGGCAATAATAATAAATGTTCTCTTGGGCACCACACTTCTAATTGAAATCTGGCCAGCTGTAGTACTCTGGATAATTTCAGGTATTTCCAATATATCAGAATAGCAGCAGGCGTTGATAGTCATTTGTTTGGTTTTCTAGGCCTAATGCTGTATTCGCGATGCAGCTGTTGCAGCTGTTTTGACGAAGATAAGGAGCCTATTCGCATCAGCTCGAAAACCGAATGCTCAATAGCAGATCCATCCAATAGCACAGCTACGAAATACATCGAAGTAGACACGATCTTGATACCCAGATGACAGGAACTAGACGAGGAATACTTGATAGTGGACTTGGATGAAGACATGTAATATTTTGAGTGTGTATATATAGGGACGGACGTATTAAACGGATAAAATGGGAATCGATAAATCCTTGAAATGAATTGAATGACAATACGCGGATCGATATATTTTATTAGACAGATAAGACACGAGAACATAAACGAAAATCAAAAAAATGTAATATCATATTTTATAAAACTTATTAATTTTGGAGAATTGTTTCTTTATTTCGGCTGTGGTTTCTGCTAGAGCTTTGGAAATCTTTATTACTAGTATAGTGTAGTGCGGCCGTTTCCCAAACACATTTTCTTCTTTTATTCTGATTTCTAGTTCAATCTTACGGCTTAAAATGATTAAGACACAATCACATAAACTCACCGTACACATCGAATACGACTTAGGTAGTAATGTAGTTTGGGAAACGCTGGCTTAGGAAAGAAATAAACGACGGGTACGACTTTACCTCACGGAATTTGTCCAAAAAATATATCTTGCTGTCACACATGTGACCTGTTATAATGTGTGTAAATACTAATAAAATTATATATTATCTTAAAAGTTTTTTGTATTGTGAAATGAAAAGACGAAAAGTTGTACACAATAAATAAATTTATTAAAACCATGAATAAAATTATTAAACTAAATCGAAAAGTGTAAGAATTACATGTTATTTGATTACAAAGAACTGTATGGAATTACATTTTTTTCACTCTTACTAACTTAACAAAGGCATTTTAGAAAATAAAAAATAAAGCAAGTCATAAGAATTGTGTCAATAAATCAATTATTGCTCGGATTTGTTTTTCGACTTGCTTTGCTTTCGTTTCTCGCATTATGGCAAATTATTCGATTCGATAAACAATTGTTAACATTATTAAAAAGTATCAAATATCACATATATAAGATCACTTAAAGTTTTCGTTATTTTTTCGTTATATTTACGTTATCCTATAATAAATTGCACTAAGTATTAGTCGATTACCACATGGAAACCTCATGTATTTTGTTGGGTTGGCTTCTTAATCTGTAAATGAGAAATGAATGAATCAGAGTCTGGCGGATGAGTGACTGGGATGGCTGTGGCGCACCTAGAAAACTCTTTGTGTATCGTAGGAACATCTTTTGAAACGCTCGTGGAGACAGAGTCTTGCGAAATCGTCCTCGTCAATTTCTTCTCGGGGAGCGAGTGTCTCTGCTTGAAGGGGTATTGCCATGATGGTTTTGTTGCCTCCAATTCGAAGCCTTGATTGTCGACTCCCTGTTTTTCCAAAATTTTATCCGGCGTTTTCGAAGATAGTCGTCTAAGTAAAATATTCATTAGACTCGTAGTTAATGTTTCATTTGATTTTGCTAATACCTCAAAATCCTTGTTCCCAGACCTACGCCTGATGCCTCTTCCAGTTTCCCACTGCTCGATCGTTTCTTCTGGAACCGTTTTCCATGGCTGTCCTCTATGATAATGTGCCTGTCGTAAGGCGTGTCGTAGTCAACTTCTAGAATTGTCGAGAAACTGTGAGGGAACAGAATCTCAACTGTCGTAATAATCACTCCGCTCAGCAGACAGATGAAGCCTGAAGCAAGAAAGAATATGGTTATTGGTGCTTCCGTATACTTGATATTTGTTAAATACCTGCTATGAAGACGAGCCAGAAGCACCAGCCCAAATGAAAGTGTAGAGTTTGGCCCTCCAGATGGATCGTCAAAGGTTTTTCCGGAAGCATAACCAAGTATCCACAGACTGTGCCCAAAAGGCAGATGCCGCAAGCGGTCATTAAAACTGCCCCGTAACGAGGGACTACTATTAGCATTAGGTTCATTAATAACCAGACTGCGAAAGATGTCCTAAATAAGAAAATAAATATTGGTATATTAAAAATGTCACATTCAATATAATACTTGTAAGTAATTGTTATTACTTGTCACGACTTTAACTTTGAGATTCAAACAAAGAATTTGAGAGTTGTTATGTCTCAGTTATGTGAAAATAATGTTGTAGTTTAACATTATTTTTATTTTGTGTATTTATACTTAAGTATACCTATCCTTCGTTTTACATGGTACTTTACTTACATGTTATCGCTCTTGCACCATTAAAAATATTAAATAAATGTTAATAGTTACATATTTTTCTCAGGAACCTATCTATCCTGTAAAATAAGGGATAGGTGTACTATATTTGCATTTTTTTTCTAGTATCGTACGCCACTTTTTTATATTCATAATTAAATCATGCATCTAAAGTTGCCTATGAAGATAATCGTTATGAATAGTATTGTACTTTTTCATTCTCAGTAGTCATAGGTTTTTTCAAAATTTAATGACGTACATATACGTTTACAAGGTAAATATTTCACAATTATTCAAGCTCCGACGATTCTTTGAAGTTTCTAAGCTAAATTAGCAATCATTAACGCTTATTATTATAATTACGCCAGACTAAAATAGACAAATAGTAGTCAACAAATAGTAAAAAAACTCAGATAGTTAAAACAATTTGACGACCTCTGCATACATTATAATAAGAAAACAAAATTAAATATAAATTTGTCAAAATTCTATGTTATTCATCGAAGCAGACGTTTTATTTGTATTGTCCTTAAATATATGATTCACATATTGACTGCAGTTGGCAGAACCTCTCAATAGCAGTCAAAAGGTATTTTGGCGCTAAAATCAGTAAAGTGTAAACATACTGTCAAAATGATCGGAAATTTAGTGTTGATATATTTTAATGCTTTATAATAAATATTTACCAATAGGACGAATAAAACAAATCCTACACTTACATTTTGAGAATTAACTGCATATAATTTCAAGGAGGTATATCTATCACATTTCCACTTAAAGCATCGTCAAAGTTAATGACCTAATATTGCGCTGATGATTTGACCTCGTGAGTTGCCCTTTATCATTTAAAATCTTTAAGAGTGTTAAACATTATCTGCGGCCCTAAATTAAAAATTGATCTACATAAAAACAGAGAGTCGAACTAAAATTAATTTCGTTCCGGTTTACGGTTACGTTCCAAGGAAATGTTTTTAGTTCCTGTTTTGGTTCGTCTAAAAATTCGGTTCCGGTTAATATTAAAATTTAAAAAAAAAGAAAAATTTAAATTCGATAAATTTAAAATGGAGTCAAACACCAAATCTCCTTCGTTTTAATTATAAAATTGAAAACAAAATACAATTTAGGAACATATTTAAAAAATAATTAATTTATATTAAAGTGTATCGATCCAGAGTTTCGGTGGAAGTTTCTTTGTACGTGGATATCATATACACAGTTTGTTTATATATTCTATTAACAATAATAATTGCTGTGTTACATCTAATTTTGAAATTGCTAATCAAGATAGATATATTTATTAATGTATATTATTAATGTTTATTTACTTAGTAATTATTTAATTTATATTTTCCCCTAAAATTTAACTTTAGCTACGGGAATCGGTAACATTTAAAATGCTATGTTTTCCTGCGCATTTTAGACTGCCGCTTCTTAAATTATTTCAGTAATTACAGTATTTTCGGTTTTAATGCTAATATTTTCGAAAAAAAAATGTATGGTAAACAAAAAGAAGATGTCGTAAGCGAACGTGTTTGCCAAAATTCGACGTGCGTTGATCTTGATTGCTCTTGATCTTGAGTAGTATATAACAAGATTAAGACGTTAATTGAAAATTTTGAAATTTTCTGAATTTTGAAATTTATCGAACAAGCATTATTTCCCAAGCAATTCAATAAGTATGTATGTAAATAGTAATACAAGTTTTAGTTGATATTTCGTGAAAAGTAATCATATTACACTGATTAATAATCGATAATTAGTTTAGAAAAGTATATACAGTGCAACCTCGCATAACAAGAAATTCGCTTAACGAGCGACATATTCTGTGTATTTGAATAACCATCATCGATTTTGTTGTCATCTTAAGTAATATAAACATATGGAGTCAGGCGTATACCCACTTCACCGTGTGTGTATATGAAAATAGATCCTGATGTTAGTAGTGTTTTTTTTTCTGCAAAATTTAATAATTAATTTTCTGTTAATAACGTTACACATACATTTTGAGGGAAATTGCAATAATTTATATGGGAACAAATATTTTGCTTTTCGAGAAAGGAATCGTGAAATCCTGGAATGGATTATGCTCGTTAAGCGAGGTTCCACTGTATTACGAAAAATATATGTAGCTTAGGATGGAAAGACCTTTGCAACAGTTAATATTATTTATTTGAATATGTTTGTTTAACTGCTTCAATAAATGTTATTATTTGTGTATTGCCTAGTAAATAATCGGTTATTTATAAAATATTATTTCTGCACAATCAAATTAGATGTAATATTACGCAACAGTGAAGGAATTCATTTTTTTCTACCATTCAATCGGATCTAAGTATTCAATTTCAATTTGGAATTCGTGGTTTGCGCAAACAGCAATAATTTAAAATTAATAACGACGTGTATACGTCGCGGACGGCGCAATAAATACGTGTATTCCGCATGAGTGATTCTCGTAAAATGTAAGGAGAAACAATAACAGCGAGCGCAAGGAATGCGACGGGATTATATAAGAGCCGATCCCCAATTGTAATGTAACCAACTTACCATAGCATGATGACGGCAAAATAACCCGCAGCCCTGTATTGTCCTCCCCAGGATAAACCTTCCTGACCAATGCTAAAGTATTCGGCCACAGTGAGGATAGGATAGGGCAGGCCCCTCGTCAAAGCCTCTTTGAAACTGTTTCCCATCTGGTCAGACGTCAGCCAGTAGAATCTCTCATTGTAGTCGATATCCGTTGTCGTGTTCTCGTTCGAAATTGCTGCACACAAAGAGCATCCAAAAGAAACAAAATATGAAACGTCTTCGTGTGAATTCCAGTTAATTACTTTATTTGCTGTCTCGTGTACAGAGACAGCAAATAAAGTAATTAACGAGCACCGACCGTATGTAAATCTTAAACTATTTATAACTATTATTAGAATGAAATTAAAACGCCTCCATCCAGCGCGATATTAATTGGAATGCAAATAATGTTATTAGTTTATAGCAAAAAGTGGATTGCAGGTGAAATACAGCTGGAGCCGTGTGAATTGGAAATTCATTTGCAAAACGATTAAGTTGACGGCTATTATGGTTGAAAACTATTTAGTTCACACTGCAGACAATGAGCCCACATTTTCGCAGTTAAATGGTTATTCTGGCACATCTCGATGTCGAAACCAATGAACGCGTTACTAAACATTCACGTATTTGTGATTAAAGCGTTTAAAACAAAAATATGTATTTTTATGTGACGAGTGATTGAAATAATTAAATTATTTTATATACCAACATAAATAAAATAATTAATTTAACAATTATATCGGAAAACATGCTGTCTCACAGATATCTAAGTTTAAACTAGAAAAATTTGTTTGCGAAATGTATTCTAATCTTGTAATATAAGTGAAGCATTATTTTGCTTTATGCTTTTCATGATTTTCTTATAGATGAGTTTTTTTTTAAATTTATAATATAATTGTATAGATGCACAATATTAATTTTAATAATTAAAAGATGAGATTGGGAATATCACATTATATTATTTCATTTTAATTCTAAACCTTAGTGATAATTAAATATTTCGTTGTGATAGTTAAGAAAAATAAATCTTGTTCGGAAAATTCAATATATACATTTTCTAGTTTATCGATAAAGGTTATGGATCATTGACTAAAGTGTTAAATAATATTAGAAATACGTGCTCACCTTGCAACGTGATATTGACATGCTGCAAACCAACGTAGACACCAATGTTCGCGTCAATCTTTTCTTTGGAAAAGGCCCTGTAGCTACTAATTATAGACGCATTTCCGACGTGCCACCCAGATCCGAATATTGAAACTGCAATGAAATTAACAAGAAAATAATCATACTAATAATATTCATTTATGCGGGAAGTTTTACCTAAATTTGTCGCTCCTACGAATAAGCTTAATGTCACTGTGAAGAATGTTGTGAATCTCTAAAAAAATAAAAATTATAAATTAATGCATACATTATTATGTATTAGTTTAATGTTATTAGTGTTTAATTTAAAAATGTATTATAGTTTATTTTTGTTTACATTTTTTGACTGCTGCAATAAACTTTATTATTACTATTATGTATTAAAATGTTTACTATTTCGAATATTTTCAATTTATTAAATTATATCTGTTGTGAAATAAGTGAAAAGATCAAATTTAATCAAAGTTAATACATTTTCATTTACAAAATAAACTGCATTTATATTTTCAATTATTGCTTAATCAAATGCGCTGAAATTGATTCTTTGTATTACTGTCCCATTTCTTCCACCATCTCTTTATATTATTATAATAAATTAGAAACATATAAACTTGATGTGGAATATCATTTATAATAAATTTAATTTTGTGATTTTTTGTTATTTTGTGACGTAAAATTTAGCAAGTTATTAAGTTATTGCTGTACTATAATAATAAAACTATGCATACTAATTTTAAATCATCTATAATACAACCATCCTAAAAGTTTTTGACATAATTAAATTAACAATTTAAAATTCGATTATGTATTTACGAGACATACTTCGAAAGTCTGATAAAATTCGAGTTGCATCGTACACTTTCAATATTCGTAAAATTAAGTATGCATTCAGCACGAGCGAACAATTGCATTGATGCGCCAACAAAATTCCCTGTAACGTGGCATTCAATAGGAGACACATTGTTTTTATTCTTTGTACGAATCGTCGGATCTCAATTAAAACACGTGGAAAACTTTCATTTCCTCGTTGGAGCATGCGGCGGGCCTCTTCTTCCCGAAATGTTAAAACAATGTCTGCGTTTCGGTTGCGTAAAGCGTAAGATTTGTCACCGTTCGCCTAATATGCGTTATTATTCAAGGTCTGGTTCACATGTTATGACCTGAAGGCATTCGTCTAAAGAGATTCCAATGATTGGAAACCCTTTTTTTTTCATTAGAATTTCGATTATATTCCATCGACGATTGTGAAAAAGAGAATTATATATAATTGTTTTCAAGATACCAGACCAGAAATGAAGATTTGACCTTTGCGTATGACAAACATTTTGAAACATACCAGTGTCCGGAAATTATATTTACATTAAGTGGATCAAAAACGAGTCAATAAAGATTATTGCAAAGAATATTAAATGTTTTAAATTCATTAAGGATTGTAGGGGCCCCAACCCAAATATTTTTGATGGCCCCCAAAATACCAAAAACAATAATGGTTATGGGGCTACCAAAGCCTGGGGCCCCTATGCACGTGCCTCATTACATTACTGGAGAATCCTTCACTAATTATATCTATTTTCCTAACAATAAGTAAAATGAATGCCACAGAATGTTGCATGTTTATGAAACAAAGTCATATGCAATGAATGACTATGCTCTCATATTTATTTTACTGACTCACTTCTTTTCTGATTCCTGGAAAGATGATTAGGAACGCGACATATAATGTGCAGAATATTATGAGGAACGTGATGAGGGTGACATCTCCGGTGACAGCAGTTCTGTTGTTGAAGCTGTAGAGAGTCGGACCACCATCATATCTAAACGCATCGAACCAACCCTTCATGGCACTTTTAGTCCTGAAATAAATAAACAATAATTAATATATAAATTAGTACGTTATTTATTTTAATTTATACATATAAATTACATTTAATTTTGCTTCTAATCCATTAGCTTAATTGTAGATACAAACTTCTTGATTAAGTTATGATTTAAATCCTTAATATATTACTTTTTGTTTATCAATTATTTTTAGATTAACCTCTTAACGCCGGAATTAATTCATAAAAAAAATATTACAAAAATCATACGAAACTAATATTTTAACTATCAATTACTAACTTTTAACTCTTCTAGTTACATTAAGAGTTGGCAGTAAGTGTATATTTTAAAATAGGAATGAACTAAATATGCTACACCCGACCATTGCTCGAAAATATTGTTCTGTCGCGCGTACTGTTGTAGAAATACGGTATGTATCAAATATGATAAATTCTATTAATCAATATAATAAATAATAGAATTTAATTTGTTTAGCTAAAATAATAATAAATAATGGAAAACAGATATAAGTTGTTGGAAATGTGACTTTATTCAATTGATATTTTTATTATTTGTTATATATATTATTAAAGTTACATATAACTTAATAATAAAAATACTAATAATTATTTATTTAACATATTCAATAACCACTCTTATGAAGCCTTTCTGCCCTTAAATTACTATTTAGGGTAATATATAATAATCTTATGTTATAAAACAGGACGACTAATAGTCGAATGGTTAAGTCGCCCTACCCATGATGCAGTAGGCAAAGGTTCAAATCCTGTTCAAGCCAGGCCCTTTGTGAGCCTTCTCGATGCTTGCAGCAAAAGGGCCATTGTTCATCACAGATGGACAGTGAAATGAATGAGGTTCAGCAAAGTCGATGAAGAATGATAGTGTTAAGGATAGCAGCAGATTCACAGTGAAAGGAAATAGTGGAATCGCAGAGCATCAATATACTACTGAAGTTAACTTACAAGATGAAAACTATGCACCGGGAAAGATTATCCAATTAATGTCAACCGCAATCTTAAATTTACTCAATGTTCACATTAATGAACAGATTACGAATAAAATTATACGACACAAAAAAAAAACAAAACTGTCATTTCTTTCTTCTACTTTGTATATTGTAAATTGTTATTATTTTTTTTAATTATTCTATACATTAATTCATTTATAATTTGTTTTAGGCCAGCTAGAAAGAACTATGGTCAATAGCTCTTTGTAGCAATTCAATTTAGTTTTATTATTAATATTCTGTTAAGTTTATATTATGTTTGTTGAAATACATATTATTATTTATTTATTTTAATATGACATTCAAAAATATCTTTCAATGAAAATGGTGTGAGTTTACTTGGAGAGAAGAATTAAAAATCGAATTACATTTCAATTCATATAGTAATTTTTATTGGCTTTAATTTAGCCAAAGTATTTCATCAAGATTGAATGAATTTATCGAACATTCCAATGAAATATTTAAATGTTGGAATATCAATCTTATTTCCATTTTCTCTTTGGGTTTCGAATTAGATCACTTTCAACCAATTCTATTCTGACTTGTTTTAAATAAATGTGATAGTACTCTGCAAAGCCAGTGGTTAAACTGGTATTTTATTTGTTTCATCTCCTCTCCAGTTGTATATACATATCTGTGGGTATAATGTAGTTTTCCTACTTTCGCCACCTGTTCTAAAGTTGTTATATCGGTTTCGTGCCTATTATAATTTCTTAGAATAGAATTGTATTGGCCAGAAACAGCGAAATCAAAATAACATCCATAATGCAAAAAAAAAGAAAAAACTTAAAATATGAATAAAAAGAAAAATAAAATATAATCAAAAAAGGAAATTGTAATATAAAAAAGATAAATAATAAATAATTGGAAATGCAAAGAACATAAGTATACTTCATAATATTAAAAATAATCATCAATTAAAATCGAATAAGGGAGTGAGAAAAAAGCAGCGTCTAGGATCATCTAGGATTTTATTTATAATACGTGCAGTAAATAATTAAAAAAACAAACTGATTTACCGAACACAAGGTTAAAGCTATAAGTGCAAATAAAATCGAATGCATAAAAATCTAGTTTATTGAGATACAAGTTGCTGGTATTTTATGTATACGTTTGTATTCTAATTATATAACAAACAAAAATTGCGCGTTGCGTCAATGGCACATTTACGCTGTGCTGCCATTTAGAAACAATTAAAGCCGATCGGGTAATTAATATTAATTGGAAAGGCGAAGTGTCTGCAAACTCACCTGGGACAAAGATCTATAGACTTTTTCATCTAGTGAATATTAAGCTTGATTTTACTATTTTGGTATGTAATGTGTATTTATTTGCTCATTGAAGTACTATAGTATTTTCTTGTTTGCATTACAAAAATAAGAATTTGAAATTAGTTCATTCATAGGGCGGTAAGATTGAGGTCAAGTATATATACAATACATTGATCAAAAATTATCTTTCAGCTTAAATATAATTATAGAAATACCTCGCATAGTATGGATATTCTGTTTGAAAAAATCGATCATTTTTGTTTAAAAAATAATTTATTTTGTTCAATTAACGTTTATTTTCTCTAGAAATTATCAAACCGTGCTATAGTGAATTCGGGCTGATTGAAGCTGTACTATGCGAGGTATTTATTGCTGCATATAAGAATTTCTTTTATTTTATGAAAATTACACAATAACATAAGAATTTTATTATA